TATAAACATGACCATAAAGAATCCACTGACGTCCCGCTACACCCTCACAGTCCGTGGCTGCTTTGGCAAAGGAGCACGTAGCAGGTCATAACGTAAGAGCCATTTTACTGCAGAACCATCAAGAAGCAGCTTCTGGCTGCCTGGATGAGCCGTAACCGAGCGGCAGGCTGACACCGAAGGACCGCAGTTAACAAGACATGGCTGAAATCTGCGTTCTCTTCTGCGACCAGCATCTAAAGCGGCACAGCCCATGTATACCCCCGGTATTTTCAGGAGCACGTGAGGAACAAAGGAACCCTACAGACATCTGCCAGTTACCAGATGGAAGAGGTGGAACTGGCTACAGTCCAGAAGAGCCAGAAGGATACTGAATATTTTTACTCTGCATTTTAGGACATCATCTGCCACTTCTCACTTCGCACCATGATGACAGACAGCCCAGTCAACAGCGCTTAGGAGAAGGATAAACAGTCGCTACTATCCCGAGATATTTTCACAGCCAGACCCGGGCAGCTCGCACCCCAGGGCTCCGCATCGACCAGAAAACCCGACTGACGTGGACATTGCCAACAAGCCTGGGGACAGCGGGGGACTCCCAGAGAAAGTCAGAAAAATCAGTTCTGGTCCGGAGGAAAAGGGCGTGCTGCCTCCAGCTCATCAGCGTGGGCTGTCGGCACGCACGCTCCCCCACGGGTGGGCTTCACCCACGCGCTCGCCCACGGCAGCGTTGGAAGCACCAACGGCAGCGTTGGAAGCCGAGTTCTTCCAGGCACACAAACCCGCCAGCAGCCCTGCCTCCACGGGCACTCTCTGGCAGCCAGCCGCCCCTCACGAGCGCCACGCCGGCCATCGGCCCTGGGGCCACTGTGCCACCAAGGGGCAGTTGGCCATCCTGACCAGCCCCTCGCCCAGGTGGGACGGGCCCGTCAGGGCTGCCGCAGAAAGGCAGCCCAGGGACGGAGGAGCATCCTTGGTCCCTATGCCACAGAACCACAGGGGTTGGCAGGGACCCCTGGAGATCATCTCCTCCAACCCCCCTGCCAGAGCAGGGGCACCCAGAGCAGGTTGGACAGGATCGTGCCCAGGTGGGTTCTGAGTATCTCCAGCGAAGGAGACTCCACGGCCTCTCTGGGCAGCCTGTGACAGTGCTCTGCCACCCTCACAGCAGAGAAGTTTTTCCTCATGTTGGGATGGAATGTCCCGTGTTCCAGTTTGCGCCCGTTGCCCCTTGTCCTGTCGCTGGGCACCACTGGAAAGAGTCTGACCCCATCCTCCTGCCACCCGCCCTTTAGATATTGATCAGCACTGATGAGATCCCCTCTCAGCCTCCTCTTCTCCACGCTGTACAGCCCCAGGGCTCTCAGCCCTTTCTCAGCAGAGAGGTGCTCCAGTCCCTGAGCATCTCCATAGCCTCCACTGGACCCTCTCCAGCAGTTCCCTGTCCTTCTTGACCCGGGGAGCCCCAAACCGGACGCAGTGCTCCAGATGTGGCCTCACCAGGGCAGAGCAGAGGGGGAGGCGCCCACCAGGATTCCCAGGTCCCTCTCTGCAGGCCACAAAGGCCTGAGCGTGCCTCCCCTTTTCGTGCAGGGGTGAAGAGAGCAAAGAAGCTTCTCCTCACCCAGGGGACAAGCAACCGCCGACGAAGCCAGGGGGAAGGGACACTGCAGGGTCAGGCAGCCCTGACACCCCCCAGCGACAGCGGAGGACCCTCTCCGCAGCACTCGGAGAGCGGCATCGCTCCAGCTGTGCCTCTGCGCCGAGCGCGCTCCCATCTTCAGCTGGCAGAGCGGCCCCGAAGGGGACACCGCCATCCGCACACCCGCCCCAGCTCACCCCATGGCCTCGGACCCTCCCGAGGGCACACACCGCGGCAGCACTGCCCACCCCCTCAGCGGAGGGGCGACCCGAACCCAGGCAGCGTGCGCGCCCCCGCGAGCCCGGACACCAGAGCGGGGCACGGCGGCGCTGCGACCAGTGGCTCCCAGGACCTCCATCTTCCCTGGCACTCTCAGCAGGGGACGGCACCGGGTGGGCTGGCAGTGACCGGCACCCATCGGGCCGGGGGCCTGGACACGGCGTTGGCTTCGCTCACAAACAGGAGTGTGCGTAGCCGACAGCCAGACATCACTCTCAGGACACGGAGACTCGAGCACAGACACGTTCCATGTCTGAACCACCTCCTCCGGCGCTGGCAGCTCCCCGGTGCGCAGGGAGCACCTCACTCTGCCCCTCGCTGAAGCACCAACAGCCACAGGCTTCTCAAGGGCAGCTCCAGCACCGGACAATGTGTCCTGCCAGAGTGCAAAGTCCAATGGCTCAGGCCAGAGCAAACACGCCGAGAGAGGCAGGTGACCCACGCCACCCGCAGGCTGTGCCGCGGGGGACGTCCCGGAGCCGCTCCACGAGCGCGTGGGTACCAGGACGCAAGCAGCGGGAAGGAAACGCTGTTCTCCTGCGGCAGAAAGAGCCCGAGATGCTCTGGTGGCAGTGGGAGGAGCGCGGGGCTCTGCAGACAGCACACATGCGGTCCCACGGCGCTGCCCCCGAAAGCAATTGCGACCGCAGCCAGACGTCCACCTCCATGAGGCAAAAGGCCAGTGGTCTCCTCGTCTCAGCAGCTCCAGGACCAAGTCACACCGATGCTGCACAAAGCAGATCTGCTCTGCCGAAGCACACCGGGACACAGCCCAGCAGCAAGGGATCCACCAGCCTAAGCTGTAACGCCCACCAGGGCCTTCAAGGAAACACCCCCGTAAGCCAATTACTTCAACGGTAACAGAAGACCCCTGCGCCCATCTTCCTCCTGCAATAAGTGACGGTGGACCAAAAGTTTTGTTAAGGCTCTTGGGGCTGTCAGAGGGCAGGAAGGACCGTTCAGGCGCTGCGGAGTCCCGATGCGTGACACGAAATGCTCCTATTGACTCTGGCGATCTGGTCCCGATACTGAAGCGTGTTGTAAGTTGGAAGATACTACATCGTCCGTCCTCAGCCTGATCATGAGTAACATCATTCAGCCACTCCAGTGCAGGACTGTTTTTCAGTTTCCGCCTCTCCACAACAACAGAAAATCACTCTGGAAACCACTTCTCCCTCAGACACCAAGCCTGAATTTGCCGTGACTATGCTCAGCGAGATGCTCATCTGCTGCCACAACGTCATCTCCAGGAGGGCGCTCAGAGACAGAAGGCTGGGGCACAGAAGAGCCTCCCGTGTTGAACAACAGGAGACGAGGTTGGCTGGCAGCAGCCTGGCAGCCGAGATCAACAGGCTGTCTCCAAGGGAGCGGCACTGGGAAAGGCAGGATGGCAAGAGGCAGGCCGGAGGGAAATCCCGGTTCACAGCTCCCCGCGCACCCACGGCGCCAGGTTTGGCGCGCCAAGGCAGCACTGCCGCGAGCACCAGCACGGCAGGAGGGCTGCCACCGCGCAAAGGGGCTGACAGCACCGCGGCAGACGGAACGAAGATGAGAGATCGGCTTTGCCAAGACACAGTAACTTCACAGACGGAGGTGCGGGAAGTTTGGCTGAAGGTGTGCGTTCGATGCCCCACCAGCCTGGACGTCTCCGGGGAGCCCAGGAGAACACCAGCAGGCGGGGAGCAGCACCTCTGGAGCAGAGGGAAGCCCAGAGGGTCACACGTGAGGACCGCTAACAGTCCCACACCATGCTGAAGTCATGCAGAAGCGAATGAGCGCTGCCAAGTATCACCTACACGCACCAGAAATACACACTGCCTCGCTGTCACCGAACACAGGGACTTTCTACCAGAAGAATTCCTCAGCTGAGAGATCTTAGTAACAGCACTGCTTCAGCTTTCCTCACTTTCTTGGGCAGCAGCAGGATTTGAGGGGGTGGCTGACAGGCCAAGTCAACGCCCCTCATAAATGTGGTATTTTTCATTTACCATCTGGAAGAGGCAAAGTCCGCCCCGCCGCAGCCCCGCCGCTCCAGGAATTCCAGATCAGCGGCACTGCGGGGCTCCAACCACCGCCTGCACGGGCTTCATCCCCTCCCTCCCCGGGGCAGCCGAACAAGCTCCTAAGTCTAAGCAGATTAAGGTTATTAGACGCTTGTGGCATAAAGGCGGAGGCACAACGGGCTGTTCCCACCAAGGCAAAAGGACGCAGGCTTCAAGGAGGAGGACGGGAGCTGCAGCTACAGCTGAATGAGGATTCAGCGCCTCCACGGTGCTGTCCCTTCGGGACAAGGGCTGGCAAGCCCGGCCCTCGGCGTGGCTGACGGGTCGGCCCAGGCTCACGTTCGTCCGAGAACGGCACACACCAGTGTCACGCTGCCGGCTCTCCCGCGGGAACAGGAGGAGCCGTAGGTAGAAGGTCCGTGCCAGAGCCTGTGAACGGGAAGGGCAGAGACGGGGCAGGCGGCCGCACAAAGACACATTATTCTCTCCTGGCACAGCCCCGGTGAGGGAACAATGCTCCTTTTCATCCTCCGGAGGTGCTCTTCCCCCAGGATCACCCTTCCACCTTCATCTACCTTTGAGCGCAATGATCGTGGATGAAATACAGAAATCGGCTCAGGCCATGAAAAAGCCACTCCGTAGTTCCCATAGCTGGACCTGAGCTCAGAACTGCTGGAAGTCCACAGCCTAGGGGTGAGGAACGCGGGCTTCAGCACTGGCAGACGTCTCTGCCCAGTGCACGCAAGGCGCCACGTTACCTGTTATTTTACTGCTGTGAACTGCCTGTGCTTCAGCAGGGAGGAGTGGCGGGAGGAGCCTGAAGAAGGAACGCCTTGCTTCCTAGGAAGAGGTGCACAGCCTGCGCGTGGTCACGGGGTCACATTCTCCAACCCAACACATGGGAGGCAGCTGGTGGGAACGCTCACCAAGCTGCTTTCCGGCTTTTTTTTCATTTATCGGCAGTCTTGGCTACCCCGGGAGGTCCCGGTTGACTGGAGGTTAGCAAATGCAACACCCATCCAGAAGAAGGGCTGCGAGGACCTACAGGCCCAACAGTCTGATCTCGGTGCCAGGGAAGGTTATAGAGCGTATCTTCTTGAGTGCCATCACATGGCACATGCAGGACAACCGGGCCCAGTCAGCACAGGCTTACGGAAGGCAAGTCCTGCTTGACTAACCTGATCTCTTTCTGTGACAAGGTGACCCGCTTGGTGGACGAGGGAAAGGCTGTGGATGTCGTCTACCTGGGCTTCAGGAAAGCCTTTGACACAGTTTCCCCCAGCATTCTCCTGGAGAAACTGGCTGCTCATGGCTCGAATGGGTGTACGCTTGGCTGGGTGAAAAAACTGGCTGCATGGCCGGGCCCAAAGTGTTGTGGTGAAGGGAGCTCGGTCCGGTTGGGGTCCGGTCACAAGTGGTGTTCCCCGGGGCTCAGTGTTGGGGTCGGTTCTGTTTAATGTCTTTATCAGCGCTGTGGCGGAGGGGATGGAGCTCAGCCTCGCTAAGTTTGCAGAGGACACCAAGTTGGGCGGGAGTGCTGATCTGGTGGAGGGCAGGAAGGCTCTACAGAGGGATCTGGGCAGGCAGGATGGATGGGCTGAGGCCAACGGTATGAGGTTCAACAAGGCCGAGTATCAGGTCCCGCTCTTGGGTGACAACAAGCCTGTGCAGCGCTATGGGCTTGGGGAAGTGTGGCTGGAAAGCTGCCCAGCAGAAAGGATCCTGGGGTTGTTGGTCAATACCCATCTTTCTCCTGAGATGGAACAGGCACAGACAAGCATTGGGGTAAAAGTGTCATATTTTATTGGCCTTGGAAAGCATCCACAGCCGAGTGGAGGCTGGCAGTACAATGTACTCAGCGCAGCTGAATGCCTGGGGCGCCGTCCTTGTTCTTGCCCCTGTCCCTTGAGTGCCTGCCTGTGCCGCTCGCCTGGTGCTCAGCCTGGAGAAGAGGAGGCCGAGGGGAGACCTTCTCGCTCTCTACAGCGCCCTGAAAGGAGGGGGCAGCGAGGGGGGGTCGGTCTCTGCTCCCAAGGAACAGGCGATGGGAAAAGAGGAAATGGCCTCAAGTTGCACCAGGGGAGGTTTAGGATGGATATTAGGAGCAATTCCTTCACTGAGAGGGTTGTCCAGCACTGGCACAGGCTGCCCAGGGCAGTGGTGGCGTCACCATCCCTGGGGGTGTTTAAAAGACGTGTAGACGTGGTGCTGAGGGATGTGGTTTAGTGGCAACTCAGCAGTGTTGGGTTAATGGTTGGACTCGAACATCTTAAAAGTCTCCTCCAACCAAAACAATTCCACGATTCTGTGATTCTGTGGGTGGTGGCAGGCACAGAAGAGCACTGCTGAGCTCAGCATCCCCTTTCTGTTTTACAACCCAGTGACAGAACCGCACACAGAGGCTGCAAGCTTCTGCAACAGCAGTAACAAGGAACCCTTAGTGGTCCCACAGGATTCAGCTCTTGACCCTACACTAACACTACTGTCACCTGGAAAAAAGGACCATCAGTGAGGAATGAAAAGATTAAGTGAGCAGCAAAGTGGTGGAAGCAGCAGCCTGGGTCCCTTCTGCACACTGGCTCTAAAACCAAGTGTCCCAGGAGAGGAGCACCAAGGGCACCTCATCCTGTGCCACCAGCTACTGGCTCTGTGCTCCAGCTAGGAAAGAGCTAACCAGTCTCCTCTCACCATACGAAAAGCCTGCCCGTGGCTCAAAAGTCACCCCAGGGCAGATGTGCCGTAGTCTTGTTGCCAAAAAAGTGTCTGTAGGCTGGAGCCAGCTCTGCTCCACAAAACACCTACATACGAACCCCTGAAGGCAGAGGAGGGAAAACTCACACCAGGTTTGGTAGCGTGATCCTACAGAACAGCCCTTCTGTGAGGGACACAGTAGAAATCCCGAAGGAGGCAGGGACCTACCTGATGATGGTGTGCATGCCTCGCACCTGCGGCGTGTTCTCCAGCACGCTCAGCGTCTTCGGCAGGGGCTGTCCTTGGTGGGCAGAGGCCAGAGCTGCCCTGCAACAAGGAAGCAGCGATCAGAGCTGCACAGCACACGCGCAGAGCCCCCACGCTGGACCCCCTCAGAGTGGGACATGGCCCCCGACCGCAGGATGGCTCCTTCTGGAGAACCCACCACACAGGCTGGACACCAGAAAGCTCTTCAGGTCTGGTACCAGGTATGCGATCCCAGAGTGGTACCGCCCCGTAAAACTGGGACAAACCTCCCACGACCACTCATCCAGCGGTCAGCAGCCTCTGCACACCCGAGCCTCTGCCGGCACCCGGGCAGCGGGAGAAGCAGCTCTGCGCAGACCTTGCTATGCACCCTGGGACAGGGCTGCCCGGGCTGCACCGTGGTACGAGGACTGTTCCAGCGAGGCTTGCTACATCGAGTCCCAGAGAACAGGGAGGACCGTCCAGGACATTGCTCCCACAGGGGGGAGCAGCATGGGGCAATCCAACGCTCAGGGCAGGAACCACACTCCAGAAAGGGACAGGAGCAGTGCGGGGAGCCCGTCACACAAATCAAACGTAGCTGCCGTGGGACAGGTCATAGAGCAGCCAGCAGCCACAGCGGGGCACCCC